GACTGGAGGAAGAATTCTGGGAGTTGAAGTCCACAAGTCTTAAAGCTATCAAGTTTGAAAGACCCCTGCGTTATAGGATGCGCTTTGAGGATCATTCCACAGGTAGCAGCAATGCTAGCAGAATCATAAGCAAAAGCTTTTTATACTTTTAGCACCAAGAAAAGAAATGGAAATAAAAACAGCCATTTGTCTGGAATGTTATAGGGTCTTGCCAGAGGCAGGAGCCTGGACTAGACGATCTACAAGTTCTTAGACTTAGAATATCTTTATTGCTACTTTGAATGTACACTTATCGGCATACAATAACATGAAAATACAATAATATTTGTCTGTCAACCCTATTATTGTATGTTCTATTACTAACTTCTGGAAAGTCCCTGGGCAGAAAAACAAGGACAATAGCAGAGCTGGTGTTGGCTTAACATTTTTTTTATACAAGTATTTTTGCAAGTTTTGGGAAAAGCATGATTCTATTCGTTTCTACTGTTGAACATTCTTGCCCCAAGGGTGTGTGTGTGTGTGAGAGAGAGAGAGCGGGGGTTGTGGTAGGTCAGGGTGCCAAGAAAATAAACTGCTACGTTGACATTGAAAGTCGGGGGTGGGGGGAAGAAAAATAAAAACAACAGTCAAATAATAGGGAGTGTGCTTGTGTGACTTTGGCACACAACTCTGGTGGGCATTTGGCTCTCCTCTTTGATTGACAGGCTGGAAAATTAAGAGAAAAGGTTTGAGAATGGGACTTGGAATAGCAGGGAGGCTAAACATTCTGGGATTAAAGATGATAAAAAATGCAGGTTCACATTTAAAAAATAAAATTTTTTTTTAATTTTTAAAAAAAGGGGGGGGGGGAGGTTTTCTTGAGCTTTGCTCCAGTTTAAGGTCTGCTGTATATATATTTTTTTATTTTGCCCCTCGGCGGAAATGCTTCCTCTCACAAGGGATACAGGCACGCCAATCGTTGGTGGAGATTCTCAACAATCCAGGTCATGGTGGTCCCAAAGGCGCTTTTTTCCAGAAGCAACTGGACTTTCTGGGTTTTTTTTCTTTGAAGATGTTTTGCTTCTCATCCAAGGAGCTTCTTCAGCTCTGACTGGATGGTGGGGAAATGGAAGGATTTATATTCCTTGAAGAAAAGCTGGTCATTTGCATTCTTTTTAGAGAGTCATTGAGGCTGCTTGGAGGTTTGTCTTTGTCCTCAGGGCCGCCTGAGTGGTGCAAATGGGTGTGGAGGCTTTTCGAAATTGCTGAAAGGACTGTGTTTGTGGAGCTGTGTTTTCTGAAGGGAATTTTCACCCTGTGTCCCTTGACTGTTGAACACAAGGCGGTTGGGGATGAGTCTGTGTTGTCTCCATTTCAAATTGAAGCACAATGTAGTAGTTGGCATTTTTTTTCTGGAAATCCATTCATACTCCCGCATCATTTGAGGGTGTTCATCCCAAAGTGCATAGCTATGTCTACATCCAGGTGTCATGCCCTTGTTGGAGTCTGATTCTGAGGGGGAGATTCAGCAGCTGACAGGGAGTGGGAGTGTGGCTCCGGTGGCTGTGGAAGAGATGGGGGAAGGGCACAGTCCTGCTGGGCATTCAGAGGAAGACCCAGGGCCACCCCCTCTTCATCCTAGGGCACGCAGAGAGGAACGGAGAAAGGAGCAACGTGGCTTATGGGAGAGGAAAAGGCCATGATCCCTTTCATTAGTTGCAGCTGGGAGAACAGGATATAAGTGGGGTGTTTTACATAGCTCCTTGCTGGAAGCAAAGCGTGCATTATCTTTGTCAAGGCTTATCTGGGTTTTGGCATCCTCCCAACTGTGGTTGCTGTGTTATCTTGTGGAAGTCTGCAATTTATCATCCTGGCCTGCTGTGCTAATTACTTCAGTGTGGTTTGTGTTGTTTTTTATTTCTAATTATCTTTACTTTGGGTTCGGACTGCATTTACTCCCTTCATAGACTGTTTTTGGAAAAGTTTGATATACAGCCAAGGATAATTGGACATTGGGGCCCAAGTTGGAGGCATTAAAGGGAATTTATTCTACTTCTGTGACTTTGTTATTTTTGTGTCACGCCCAGGGTCATCACACGAGGTCTGACCCAGCCTGCACTTGTGTTCAACAGTGAAGGGACCCAAGGCTGAAAAATATCCCACAGAAAGCACAACTCCACAACACAGTCCTTTCAGCAATTCCAAGAAGGCTCCACACCCATTTGCACTACTCAGGTGACCCTAAGGACACAGTTAAGTCATAAGTGGCCTCTACGACTCTCTAAAAAGGATGCAAATGACCAACTGTCTGCAAGGGAGATAAATTCTTCCATTCCCCACCATCCAGTCAGAGCTGAAGAAGCTTCTTGGATGAGAAGCGAAACGTCTTCAAAGAAAAACAAGAAAGTCCAGTTGCCTCTTGAAAAAAAGGACCTTTGGGACAACCATGACCTGGATTTTTGAGCATCCCAAGCAATACGGGTAATCCTCAACTTAAAACAGTTCATTTAGTGACCGTTCAAAGTTACAACATCACTGAAAAAGGTGACTTAGGACCATTTTCACTCTTACGACCATTGTAGCATCCCCCAGGATCCCATGATCAGAATTCAGATGCTTAGCAACTGATTCATATTTATGACGGATGCAGCATCCTGAGTTCACATGTTCCCCTTTTGCGACCTTGTGATAAGCCAAGTCAATGAGGGAAGCCAGATTCACTTAACAACCGTGTTGCTAACTTAACAACTGCAGGATTCACTTAGCAAGTGTGCCAAGAAAGGTCGTAAAATGAGGCAAAACTCACTTAACCAATGTCTCATTTGGCAACAGAAACGCTGTTTTGGTCATAAGCTGAGGACTACCTGTATAATCACAAAAGAGTTGTATATTAGGGATCTCAGGCCTGCTTCCCTGAACAATGTTCTCTTGAATCCCATTCCTGGCTGGCCCCTCCCCTCCCAGGAGTCCTCACGCGGCCTGTTTTGGATGCAGGTAAGTGCAGGGCACACACGGAGGCTCAGAGAGGGTGAAAAATGGGCCTCCCAGGAATTTGGGAAGGCAAGAAATGGGCCCATTTCAGGCTTTCAGAGAGCCTCCCGAGCCTGGGGAGGCCGTTTTCACCCTCCCGGAGGCTCATAGAAAGCCTCCAGAGCCTGGGGAAGGCAAAAACACCCCCCACCACCATGGTGCAGGAATCCGACTACACCACACCCACTATGGACATGCCCACCCAGCAACCTGGCAGAGAACCCATTGCTAAAATTTGTGAAGCCCACCCCTACTTATGCTGTTGCAACTATTATCTCTTCTCAGCTTGCCAACGAACTAGGGAGGGGGGAGGAAGAGGGAGATGGAATATAGGCTCCAGACATCGATGAGCTTTGAGAGCCAAGGACACTTCAGCAGGTGTTTGCCAAAACCAAAGACTTTTTCTCATAACAATACAATGACATTCCGTTGGACAATGTGACCTGCGCTAATAGGGGGAGGGAGAATTCTATACTTAGGTTTGCGTGGGAATTAGTCAGATCTGGCTTTGCCCTCATCATTGTCGAAATGATGTACTCAAGACAGTTTTGCATTCAGAGATTGGATCGTCTTGACCGTGCTTGCTTTGGTTGGCTTGGTCAGTCGGAACGCTGACACCGATACAATCTGCTAACCTTGCTTACAGAATGAAGAGAAATAAGAGATAGAGATAGAAGCTAGGTGAGGACAGAAAAAAAATTCTTACCCACAAAGATGTAGCTTTCCAAAATGGATGACTTCTCTTCTCCAGCCCTGGGTTGTTCCAGCGTAGTAGGTGCTACTTGGGTGATGCTCAACCGAGCAGAGAGAACTGAGATAGCTGCTGCTACTGTAGCATAGAGGAAGTAGTAGGTGCCATGTTGCGCCCAAGTCTCGGGAGAATTCAAGTTTCACTGGGTCAGCAGAGGAGCTATCTGTGGTGCAGCCAATATTAATCTGAAATCAAACAAATCCTTCATGTTGAACTTAAGGATACTTTCTGTGTAGCACACTATTAAAACAAGAACACCCTGAATCTTTCTGTAAGAATTCAGTGTGATTTGGGGAGGATCTCAGATGGAGACGTGGCCGCAATCCTTTCATTTATTTATTTATCGACAGAAGAAAATATTTGTAGCTCAGGGTTGAACTATGGGGTCCTTGGTTCTCTCTGAGTTTGGTTGTTTTCTTGCAGACGTTTCATTACCAAACTAGATAACAGCATCAGTGCGCTAGTCAAACACATTTGGCCTAGGCCCACATGCTGTTTATAGACAAAATACTCCTTGTTACAACACATGGAACTAGGTTTTATGCAGTAGCACTGCCTTGTCAGTGGTTAGTTGTTCTCACTGTGAGGAAGTTTCTTCTTAGTTCTAGGTTGCTTCTCTCCTTGATTAGTTTCCAATCATTGTTTCTTGTCCTGCCTTCTGGTGCTTTGGAGAATAAGTTGACCCCCTGTTCTTTGTGGCAGCCCCTCAAATATTGGAATACGGCTATCATGTCACCCTTGGCCCTTCTTTTCACTAGAATGGCCATAACCAATTCCTGCAACCATTCTTCATATGTTTTTGTCTTTCGGTCCATAGTCATCTTAGTTAATTAATTAATTAATATAGAAGTACACATTGTTTTCCTATCTATAAATGGTATAAGCATAATATTAATTAATGTCTTTTAATAAAATGTGTTAATTGGAAAAGATTCTACAAGACTCTGATCTTTTTTTTACCACCATGGTCTAAAACAGGGGTGTCCAATCTTGGCAATTTTAAGACTCTGGGAGTTGAAGTCCACAAGTCTTAAAATTGCCAAGGTTGGACACCCCTGGTCTAAAACAACTGTCTTCCTACATAATACATGTGAGCTTCCTATTATTAGGTCTAATCAACTGCGGATCTAAAAACAAAAGGACATGATTTGGTTCATTAGCTTCAGAAATCTAGAGTGACAGCTCCTGCACTATCTATACTAACACCTTGTTTATTAGCCTCTCTCAAACATTTTTTTAAAAATAAAATGTCTTTCCTAGATTTTATTTATTTATTTATTTATTTATTTGTCAATCAAGTATTAGATAACAGGCATAAGTATAAACATGGTTATGAATACATGAAATGGATACAAATAAGAAAAAAAAAAGAAACAACAGGACAGGGACGGTAGGCACGTTGGTGTGCTTATGCACGCCCCCTATAGACCTCTTAGGAAAGGGTTGAGGTCAATAGTAGACAGTCTAAGGTTAAAGTTTTTGGGGTTTGGGGTAGAAACCACAGAATCAGGTAGACTATTCCAGACATTGACCACTCTGTTGCTGAAGTCGTATTTCCTGCAATCAAGTTTGGTGTGGTTAACCTTGAGTTTGTATCTGTTGTGTGCTCTTGTATTGTTATGGTTGAAGTGGAAGTATTCAATGACAGGTAGGACATTGTAATAGATAATTTTATATACTATACTTAGATCAGACCGAAGGTGACGTAGTTCTAGGTTGTCTAGGTCTAAAATTTCAAGTCTGGTGGCATAAGGTATTCTGCTTCGAGTAGAGGAGTGGAGAACTCTTCTCGTGAAATATTTTTGGACTTTCTCGACTGTATTAATATCCGATATGTAATGCGGGTTCCAGACTGATGAGGTGTATTCAAGTATTGGTCTAGCAAATGGTTTGTATGCTCTCCTTAGTAGTGTGATCTTACCAGAGAAAAAGCCATGCAGGATTAGGTTAACAACTCTTAATGCCTTATTGGTTATGTAGTTACAGTGGGCTCTAGCACTTAGATGATTAGAGATGAGTACTCCAAGGTCCTTGACATAGTTGAGGTCATCAACAAGGTCTTGACTATTCAGCTTGTATTTTATTTTCTGATTTTTTTTCCAATATGTAAGACAGAGCATTTGTTTATTGAGATTTGAAGTTGCCATTTATTTGACCATTCTGACACATAGTTGAAGTCATTTTGAAGGGTAGCAGTATTGTCAGTGGTGTTGAATAGCTTTACATCATCAGCGAAATGCCTAGATGTGAAATATAACTCTTCTGGGGTAAATACACTGAAAATGTTTTCCTTCTGAATGTGACCTCAAAAGCATTTGTTGAACATGTGTTTAATCTATATTTTAAAATATAAAACAGTTTGCATTCTATATATTATTAATTAGTTGTTGTGACAAATTGAAATGTGGATGAATAAACAGTCAGGGGAGGCTTTTGCTAAGAATACACAAGGTGAGGACCCAGCAGCCTCTTACAACTGCACAAGAATGTGCAGGGATTATTATTGTTTTGTATAAATGTGTTAGTGTACGCACAAATTTGTGTATTATGCTTCAGCTTTGATTTTAATTAAACCCTTGAATACAGCATATACTCTGAGGGCTGTATTGAGACACTGAGCACTTATTCCAATTTAGCATGTGGATGTTGACATTCCTGTCTGCCTATCATCTGTTTATTATCACAACGTGCATCACCATGTTATAATCCTAAGATTCCCTTTTCTCGAGTTCTTTTCTTAACGTGGAGTCCTCTCTAAGCTTGATTGCTTGCAGATGTTTCATTACCCAGCTAGGTAACATCATCAGTGTCAGTGAATGCGGGGTTTGCTCCCTGTTTATATACATTATATAATACAGGTAGTCCTCAACTTACAGCAGTTTGTTTAGTGACTGTTCAAAGTTACGACAGCACTGAAAAAATGTGATTTATGACCATTTTTCACAGTCACGACTTTTGTAGCTTCCCCATGATGATGTGATCAAAATTCAGACGCTTGGCAACGGGTTTATGACGGTCTCAGTATCCTGAGAGTCACGCGATCTCCTTTTGCAACCTTCTGACAAGCAAAGTCAACGGGGAAGCCAGATTCACTTAACAACTGAGAGTTCTGACCGAGGCTTATGGAGACACTAGCAAAAATATGTTAGTCCCAAAACCCTTTTTTCTTTATTTCAACGGCTGTGAATTTTAGTCATTCACAGCCCGTAATGAGTCTGAAACAGTTTGTAAATAGTCCCATGGAAGTTTGTCAAAGTCCTTCAGGATAAGTCTGATAAGCACGCACCTTTATCTTCCTTGAAATGCTGCCAACCACTAAATGTCCAATTAGTTACACGAGGCCAAAATGGAACACAAATTCAACACCGAGCTTCAGGTTTCAAACTGACCAGTACGAAAAAAGTTGCTTCCTGCAAAGATTTCTGTCCTTTTGCTCCTCCTTTATGTCTTATGGGAGGGCCAAGCCTTGCTCCCGAGTCGCCCCTTTTGTCTTAACTATTCTTGCCTTCTGGCAGCTCTGCACACGCGCACACTGGGAAAAGGCTCCCCCTGTTCCTCTGCCTCGCTGTTGCCAGATTCTGGAGGCTCCGGAGTCAGCACATAACTCCCAGATGGCCCTGGCCCCATCTCTGTGTCAGACTCACATCCTTCGTCTGAGTCCTCCCCTGACTCCCGGACTGGCCTATGTTCCTCCAAACTGTCTGATTCTGCTGCCGTCTTCATAGGCCACCGGCAGACCGCAACACTGGGCTATCAACTTATCCACTGCAGTGATTCACTTAACAACTGGGGGCAGGAAAGGTCACAAACTGGGGCAAAACTCCTTTAACAAATGTCTCACTTAACAGCAGAAATTTTGGAGCTCAATTGTGGTCATAAGCCAAGGACTACCTGTATATAATATATTTTCTTAAGGGAAGAAAATAAGGATGTTTTTCTTGAATGCTAAAGTTATGAGATTTTTTTGCATTTTTAAATTTTTTATTAAATTACAGGTAGTCCTTGACTCACAACCACTTGTTTAGTGAACCTACAACAGCACTGAAAAAAGTGACTTATGACCAGGGGTGGGATTCTACTGGTTCGGATTGGTAGTTCCGGTGATGGTCCTGCCCACTTACCCCTGCCCTAGTCCCGTGATGGCAAACCTATGGCATGCATGCCACAGGTGGCACGCAGAGCCATTTGTGTGAGCATGTGAGCCTCAGGCAAACTTACCTCACTGCGCATGCGCGTGCCTCCCAGCTGATTTTTGGTCCTTTTTCGGCCTCCCAGAGGCTTGAGGGAAGCTTCTGCAGCTTTTGGAGGCCAAAAAACAGGCCCATTACATCACTTCCTCTATTTCTGGAAATACCGGAAATGACAAAATGGGCCCATTTTTCGGCCTCCAAAGGCTGCAAATGCTTCCCTGGAGCCTCTGGGAGGCCAAAAAAGGCCCGAAAATCAGTTGGGAAGTACGCACATGCACAGTGCAGGTAAAGGGGGCAGTGGGGGGGGGGCGCCCCCCCTGCGTGCATTGCCTTTTGGGTACTGGCATGCATGCAAGCGCTTGCGAGCGTGCGTGCAATTTTCGTCACAGGAGCCCAAAAAGGTTAGCCACCACTGACCTAGTCTGTCCTTTATTCCCGTGTTTTGCAGTTCAGCTGAGTTGCGCAACACCATGGATTGCTACCCCTCAGCTGTTTTACTCACTGGGGCTGCAGTAGAAGGTAAGTATTAGAACTGAAAATGGGTGGTTTTCAAACGCCGTGCACATGCGTAAAGTACACACTCACTGAACCAGTTATTACGCCGGTTGAATCCCACCTCTGCTTATGACTGGTCCTCGCAATTACAACTATCGTCATATCCCCAAGTTCACATGGGGTCCAAATTTGGACATTTGGCAACCACTATGTATTCACAATAGTTGCAGTGTCCTCAGGCCCATATGATTACCATGTCAGCTTTGGAAGCCATATTGAGATCAGATGCTCCCACGCTGCCACATTTGATCCTGGGAAAGTGGGAGGGGGGAATTTATTGGAGTATATCTAGTTAGACATAATAACATTTTTTTTCTGATTCAAGGACATGTTATTTTGCGCCCAAGTGAGGGGAAGTCTCAAGTTGGGACGGATGGTGATTGGGGCATGTGATGTGATGATGGGTGCAGGGGATGGATTTGTAGTTTTTACTTATTGTAAGGAAGCCTGGAACTTTCAGATTTCGGATTCCCCAGTTGTGCCAGTTACTATCTAAATACAAAGGAACCTTTGAGAAGATGTCTGTCTCAGAGTTATTGGGTGGAATGGAGGGTTTCTGGAATGCTAACACACCATTTGCAACCTTCCCAGCTGGCTTCTGACACACCAAGTCAATGGAGAAAGCTGGATTTGCTTAATGACCGTTTGATTCATTTAATAATAGCAGTAAAAACTGTGACAAAAAATTCATAAAATCAAGTCGGACTCGCTGAACAATCGCCTTGCTTAGTAACTGGAAATTCTGGTTGTACATTGAGGACTACTATATGTCTGGTGGATAAAAGGACAATTTCATAGCAAGTGTAAATGTTTTATATACCTTGAGACAGAGAATTTAACAAGGACATACTATTCCTACTTGTAGCCTCCTGTCAATCTGATTGCATCTTCAATTTTGAGGCCCGTACTGAAAATTATATGATTTCACATCATAAAAAACCTCGAAAGATAATAATTGCACGTTTTTACATTGCAATAATTAAATGGTCTGCTGATCTTTATGGATTAGGCAGCTCTTAGAACTTTATAAAACGTGCTAACACGATTCTTCAATATCCTTAAAAAAAATATGTTAACATACCCAGAGAAACGCTAAAGCAAAGATTTAAAACACTTTTGTCAGCAAGAAGAAAAGAAAGCAGAGCTAAGTACCTCAAACTGGATTATGGTATTTTCGTTTACGTTCAAATCTCTCGTTGTAATTGAATGCTCTCCGACTTCATTTGAAACAAATACCATCGCAGAATCTTCTTCTCTGTTGCAGGAGCAAAAGTGATATATCTCACAATATGATTACTCATTTTAGTCAACACTTCTTTTCTGAAAGTTTGACAACTGTCTGGTTTGGTACAGCAACAGGGCAGATACAGACTTCAATAGATAGTTAGGACTGCAGAAAAAAAAACAATTGCAAACAGCCTGCCTTCCACTGAGGACCTGTATACTGCATGGGTCAGAAGGAGGGCTGTGGAAATATCTACAGCTCCCTCACATCCTGCACATAAACTGTTTCTACTTCTCCCCTCGGGATGCTGCTACAGGGCATTGCAGGTCAAAACAACTAGACACAAAGACAGTTTTTTCCCCCTCGTGACATCACTCTGCTGAACACCAAATCCTCACTTATGTCTAAGCGTATTTACCCATGTAGTATGGCTGTGTTGTTGTTGTTGTTGTTGTTGTTGTTGTTGTTGTTATTATTATTATTATTATTATTATTATTATTATTATTATTATTATCCTTCTCATCTTTTCTACTACCTTCTCTTATTGGCATCATTATTGTGATTATTATTACTCCATTGCTTTGCATGTATGTTGAGAGACAAATTCCTTGTGCATTTAATCATACTTGGTCAAATAAAGACTATTCCAGTCCTGTCCTGTTCAATTGTGCTCTATCCTGTTCTGGTTGTTCAATTCGATTCGATTCTATATTTTCTATTCTGTCCTGTTCTTTCATTCCATTCCATTCCATATATTCTATTCTATTCTATTCTATTCTATTCTATTCTATTCTATTCTATTTTATTCTATTCTATTCTATTCTATTCTATTCTATTTCCATTCCATTCCATTCCATTCCATTCCATTCCATTCCATTCCATTC